AAAGAATTCATTGACAATTCTTTTGTTACGTTCCTCAAACATGGCCGCCATGAAAACCATCAATTCTTTCATATTGTACTAAGCTAGTCAAATTACGAAGAAGCGGTCGATCACTTTCGCTCAGTTTTGTCGTATAAAACTCTTCTCTGACTTATTATTCTCTGAATTATCTAACGACGATAAACATTTAGATTACTGGTAGATAGCCCAGGACCTACTTGTATACGAAGGGTCCATAGCATTATCCAACGGATAAATCCTTATCCAGTGAATAAGTCGATACTGTTATCCAATAAATCTATCCACTGAATAAGATTTATCTGCCGGATCGCGCTATCCATCCTTGGTACAACAGAACCCAGTGTAGTTTACATAAAGGCCCTCCTCCTATGGCCGTCGAATTTTGTAGATTAAATACGAAAGTAGAAATACCTTTTTGTAGACAGTGCCCATGCAAGCTATCTTCGTTTGCATTCCCATTTGCAATGCGACGTAGAAGTTATGGTTGATAAAAAAAGGTTCAATCAGACAACAAAAGCAAATGCCGACCATCGCAGCAACGTGAAAGTTTGATATCCTCTTGTGAGGATCTTCTAAGGAGAGTTTCTGAAATATCCACAGGAAAATAATCGATGTCCAAGACATGAACCATGCTAGACTTTTCAGAAAAAATAAGTAAAAATACTCTCTGAAGGAAAATAATCTGCAGATTGCCTTCCATAACCGAGGTTTTTTGCCCTTCTTTCTTGCTTGCTCGACTTCTTCTCTCCATAATTCTTCCAAGTGTTCCACTATGACATCCGCCTTTTCGCTTTTTGACAATTCATAGAGATCATCTTCATTCAAAGGTCGCTGACAAGCAAGCTTTATCAAACCATACAGCCAGGAAAAAATGAAAACAGAGAGGCATCCTGCTTGATCTCTGGGATTCTGGTCTGGCATTCTTCGATCAAATTGGCCAAGTCTGCAAAATAAGATGGTTTCTGAATTATATATTTCCCATGAAAATTTCCCACAAATTCCAAAAATTATAGACGCTTGTTTCGGTTTGTGTCTCGTATATCGAATTATGAATTTGTTATGTTAACTGGGTTATTCAAGAGGTCTTGTGCTATCAAAATCCGGTGTCAAACCTTTTCTAACCTGTGGGTTGAACAAAACCCATATTTTCCGGACTCTGCATACGAAAACTGTACTATCAGAGCAGAACACTGGCAGTGGACCGATGGAACAATGGAGGAGTGGAACAGCAAGACAGATACTAATCAGTAGACTGGCAACCCTCTTTTTTTTTAAGTTAGTATTTCTTATGCAAATAAATTTTTTTAAAAACAAAAAAAACTAAAAACACATTATTGAATAAAATAAATAGAATCATTCGGAGTTATTTTCTACTTCAATAATGTTTTTGCAAATTAGCTTTAGTGGTAAGAGTGAATTTTCTCTTGTGGTCGAAGTTTTGACTTGATGAAATACAACAAAATTAAATGTAGGAAAAGATCGAGTTTGTTCTTGACTTCGTGGCAAAATGAAGGTCATTGCATTCGAAACTCGAAAACAACAACAGCAAATATTTCCTCTATTTTATATATTTTTTCATTTTTTTTATTTCTCTTCCTCTATCGGCTTTTTTCTTTTGTCTTCTTCCCCTTCTGGCTTGTTCTCCATCTTTATCTTCTTCATCCCTCGTCTTTTCCTTCTTTGTAAGTCGTAGTCATCATCGATATGGTCTTCTTGAGTTGCTTGATCTTCAGTAAATCCGTGAAACACTAATTACTAAATAGTACAAAATAGTGCTAGTTAAACAATAGAAAACAATGGAATTTGCATGAAATTGTGCTATTTAGTATTACTAAAGTTTCACGGATGATTTACTGTGGTCACTCTACTATACTGATTCTATATCTTTTCTACCTAAATTTTTGATTAGTTTGAAATAAATATTAGAAACTATATTAGAGTGCAAACAATTAATCCGTGAAACACTTATTACTAAATAGTACAAAATAGCGCTAATTAAACAATAGAAAACAATGGGATTTGTATGAAGTTGTGCTATTTAGTATTACTAAAGTTTCACGGTTATATTGTTTCCACTCTAGCATTGCTCTTGAGGCATACCTTTTTATAATTTTGCTCAGTTGCTTATGTGCTTTGAGAATTTTTCACGCCACAGTCGTCATTTAAGCATTTCTTTATTTCATGGAAGCCTCAGCGGTCCCCAAACAACTTTAACTCCTAAACAAGTTATCTTTCTCGCTAAAATAATTCTCAATAATAAGAGAATACTTGAATGCAAGAAGACTAATCATGAATAAAAGAATGAATGTATTCAGTTGCTGGGCGCTCTCTTAATGTTTCAAGCATTTTAAGAAAGCCAAAGGCTGACTCAGGTTTTGTTTTTTCTTGTTTTACTAAAAAAGGGGAAAAACTACGAACTACTAATTATTGGTTTAAAGTGCAGCAAACCCTAGTCAACCAATGCAGCCGCTATTGACGTGAAGGACAGGACAGAAAAACGACAAGCCCGCTACCTACTTTCACGATTTTTTTATTTAACTGAGTTTAATATTACAAATTTTCGTGCGTTTCATTTGTGTCACTACTGCTCGAAACTTGAGACGAAATTTTGTCGAATTAGAGTCAAGGCTACTTATTAGTATTCACGAAAATATCAGCTTTTCTGCTGATCAAAATATCACCTCTCCCAAAGTACACGGCTTTATATCTCAAATACGCATTCAATAAATTTTGGTCACATTTGATATTTTGCTATTTGGCTCCAAAAGAACGTGTTTACAAAATATTGAGCTTAAATACGTAAAGCTGTCCTTATGGCGAAAGGCCAAAAACCGTTTTTCTACCCTGTCGTCGTGAAGCAAAGCTCACTCCCCTATGTAGAAGAACTGATGAGCATTGCCACACTAATAGAGGCTGCGTATAGGAGATTATCCTTACCCCTGATACAATACTTTCAGTATTGATTCTACAATAGTGCAGATTTCGTACGCCGCAACCGTGATGTTTCCTAGAATTTTGATTGGCTTTCTTTTCTTTTGCTCAATGTGATTGGCCTAGCAGTGCCGTGTCCTCGTCGTGACCGTGTCCGCGTCGTGTTCGTGACGTGTTTCGTGCATTTGATTGCATGGATGAAGAAATCGTGTCTTGCCGCGACCGTGATGTTTTTTAGATTTTTGATTGACTGGGTCTTTGCCGTTGCCGTGTTCGTGCCGTGAACTTTTCACAGTCATACGAAAACTGCTCTAAAAGTGAATGGTGAAATATTTCTTCATTTAAATGTTGCGTCTTTAAGTTTTGAAGGTTTATACTTCCATTAAGTTACTGACTGTGACGTCAACCCAGGCTTTTGAGTGTATTTGTTTTAATTTTCAATACTAAACGAGGCTACAGCCAATGTGGGCTACAGAATAAATCAGCTTATTCAGCAAGTCATCAGAGACACGTTTACCGACTGTACTTTGCTGACTAGCACATCGACTCAACACCATCATCGACTTCGATAGGGTAGTGGGTCTTGCTGGAGGTCGCATTGTTGAAGATGGCAGTCCTAAGTTCTCGCGAGTGACGGAGCTTTTGCAAGACTTTTACAAGATAACGGTCATGAATTTCCTTAATAATTCGACTATAATTTGACGTGTTTAACGTAATTGTTGAATTTTTATTCAGCAAATTAATCAGTACATGTATCCTGTATAAGGAAAAAAACAGCACAAACTGCACTTCAAAAAAGTTATAAATTAAAATATAAAAAAATCAAAGAAAACTGATCACGATTGAAATGTATCACATGCAAAGATTTGAATGCTATGCCAACATGTTACAAGAAGGAATAACGTACGTCAAAATTGATAGCTTCAGAAATCTGAGATAAAGTTTCTAGTTTCACCATCTGCACCATCTGCAAGGTGGACGTGCTTGAAGACGGTGTGTAGGATGAAAGAATTGATTTATAAAATGTTCATTTTTTTATGTGTGTCAAATCTACGGTTTAAAAAAAATCATTCCTTTTTCCATTCCATGAATTCCTTCCTATTCAATTTTTTTTTTTTTTTTTTTTTGCGGAGTGATGAAATTACTTATCTCACTGCATTATTTTCTAAAGTATCATTAAAAGTTTTGCGCGCAATAGAAAATCTCAGGATTATTGCGCAATATAGGTTAGAAAAATAATCATTATTATTATCATTACTGTTATTGTTATTATTATTATTATTAAGGTTTAAATATTTTTTTAAAATTATAGATTTGATTACTGACATGATTATGAAGATAGGATTTTATTATTATCATCCTTATTATTATTATTATTATTATTATTATTATTATAAATTGCCTATATATAGCGAGATTTACGATTGAATTTGGAAAAAATACGTTTTTATTATTATTACTATCATCGTTATTATTATTATTATCATTATTATTATTATTATAAATTGCCTATATATAGCGAGATTTACGATTGAATTTGGAAAACATAATAAAGTTTACATTATTTTTAGTATTAAGGTTTAAATATTATTTTAATAATAATCATCATCATCATCATCATCATCATCATTATTATTATTATTATTATTATTATTATTATTATTATTTAAGTGCTCTTCGTTTTGAGAATACATTATTGGGAATTACTTTTTTTTTTTTTACAATACATTCTTTCAATTTTCATCATCCTGTAATAGACTGATTTGATAATCCGCTGGTGATCGCGTGCTCAAAATGACCGGAATGTTTTTTCACGAAAATCTCTACGCATTGAAATTCAAACCATTCAACATGCTGGTGAATAAATACTCTTTTTAGAAAGTTTAACTAGGTGTAGAATCACTGAGTAAAAAAGGCTGTATATAAACAGATTGTAAGAACAGATCTCGCATAACGTACGACCCGTCTTTCATCTGTTCATACTATTTGAACCTCGATGAATTAAAGCAAATAACGATGTAAAACTACAAGCAAGGTCAAAGTATAAATTAGTGAGAAGACTACGAGTGGAGAAGCAGTGTTAGATCACACTAGATCTTCGTGGAAGTAGAATATTTTTCAGCGAATTAGATTCAAACATGCTGTGGCTGGTGGCAATCTTTCTCTCGTTCAATGTCGTACTTGGAGAAGATGTTCAGACAATGGCCGCGGTGAGTGGCAACATTTTAACCTTATTTTGAATCTAACGACTAAGATTATTTTCTTGTTTACGGCCGCTTTTGTGTGTATGTGTATTTTTTCACCATGTTTTTAAGAGTTTTAAGTATATAGCCTAATTTATATATTAATTTTATACCTTCGTTTCTCAGTCAAAAGTTGTATCATGCAAATCTACAAATCGGTTTCTTTTGGAAATAGAAGCGCGTCCGCCATTTTCCCGGCAATTCCCCCGATCATGCGCGTTTGAATATTTTTACTCTTTATTTTCTGAGTATCTTTGCATTGAATAAAGAAAAGAAAATCTAATTGCAATAAGATTTTGGTCTTTAGTGATGCACTTTAAAAACAGTGCCTTTGGATTGTTTAAGGATGCTATGAAATTTAATATAAGTTCTAAGCCGAACAGTAAAAAAAAAAATCTATTTTTTCCTCCTAGAACTTTCTCAACAAGTACAACTACCTTTCCCAATCCCGATCTGGAAACCACGACTTACCATCTGCTATCAAGAAATTCCAGGAATTTAACAGCCTCCCAGTCACCGGTGAACTAGACCAGGCAACGGTAAAATTGATGAAGACGCCCAGATGTGGTCTGCCAGATGTCGACGACAATGGCAACCGACGTCGCCGTTACGTCACATATGGAAAATGGAGCAAGAGTGCGTTGAAGTATTACGTCCAGCATGGCGCTGACTTGAGCCAGGCACAGCAAGATGCCGACTTCAGGAAAGCTCTTCAGTTTTGGGCTGACCAGTCGTCGTTGACCTTCAGACAGGTTTATTCACCAAATGATGCTGATCTTAAAATCAGGTACGAACAAAAAAGAGTAGAGTGCATCCGACATATCCGGGAAAAACTTTGCAAGAAATCGCACAAATTTGCACAAATTAGTGAGTTCAGACCACCCCAGACAACCTTTGCACTAATTCGTATTATTTTGTTAGTTAATTTTTTCACGGGTAATAACACATTATTACCAGTGGTATGCACTCTTAGCTATCAATGTGAGCGCACGGCTATTGACATGTACTGGAAAAAAAAGTTAATCGCTCTTGTTAGCTTGTACCCTCTTTCAATAGGTTCTCACCACTCCAACATACTAATAAACTCCAATGATCGGCCTGTTAGTTAGCTCAAAGTATTGTCCTCTAGCTGACTTAGATCATTCCAGGGCTGGTTGCAGAGTTCAATAAAACTGATATATTTCAAACCTTTTTTTTTTTTGGTTTAAAGTTTTGGCCATTACACACATCAAGGCACCAACGCAGAGGACATCTGTGGATATCCATTCGACGGACAAGGAGGAGTCCTAGCACACGCCTTCTTCCCCGAGGATGGACGCGCTCATTTCGACGAGAGCGAGTACTACACAGCCAACAGTGACCAAGGCACCAGTCTTCTGTGGGTCGCAACTCACGAGTTTGGACATTCTCTTGGGCTGGCTCATTCCAACGTGCAGGGCGCAGTAATGTATCCATACTACACGGGATACACACCAGGAATGAAGCTGCATTATGATGATATCAGTGGGATTCAAAGCTTGTATGGTGGTAGGTTAACGTATCTATTTGCCGTTTAATGCATTGTGGGACATGTTTTTATATTTCCAAGATGGCGTCTATTTCTTCCCCTAAAACAATCCCACCATGCACAGCAATGACATGACCCAGTTTTTCCTCAGACCTTCACTGGAACACATGAATATTTTACTCAGAATGGAGTCTAACCCTGAGCAACAGAGAATTCCAACCTGGAGTGCCTATTACACTGTGTTTTCTCTAGCTTAAAATGTGAAATACATTGGGTCTGTACTCCTATTCTCCTAATTTCACCGTTGGCTGTAGATTTATACCTGCATTCCAAGGTTGAGTTGGTATTCCAGTGAATTGTGAGGCCGTTTGGGAACGAAATCAAAACAGACACTATCTTGGAAATATGTCCCCTAACACAGCCTCACAATAAACAACTAGACCCATTTTTTCCCCTCAACCTCGGAATACCTAATGCTATATTTCTTATTAGCCTTGTTATGAATATTTTGACACTTTTTTATATATGATCATATTATATAAATAGATTTTTAGGCTTTAGTTTCTATAAATAATTCATACATAAATATAACAGCTTTATTCTCTCCAAATCCTACAGGCCCTGGCTCAGTGCCAATCACAAGTGCTCCAGGTCAGTAGAGAGACCGTTTTCTCAAGGTTGCGTGCGCATCCAACTTGACGCGGAGCAACAAAACCGAATAACGGAAATTCAGTAAAATTGAGAAGCCAGTTTTATTTAAAGAAGAGAATAATCGATTTTATGAATTCTTATCGAAAAAATTTCATAGCAATGCATGTTAATACTCGTGTTCTTGTATCGTGGCCCGTCACGCAACCTTGAGAAAATGGTGGGTGGAGGTGAGGGAATTGATAGGGCCCTTGAAAAAAATTTAAAAATATAGATACTTTATGGCTTTTGAGAGTGACCTCTTTGCCTTGGGCGTATTGTTTTCCCATTTCAGACCATGTGTCATTCCCTTGAGAACCATTTCTTCGTTTAATGGAAACAAAGGAATCTTATTATCAAAGGAATAACCCTCCCGGAGAAAGCTTTGCAAAAATGAAAAATTCCAAAAAGTCATTGAATTCATTTTCTGTATGCTGCAGAAGTATGCAAGGATGATTCGCCACACTGCGCTTCTTACAAATCATCTGGACACTGCGAGAAGTACCCTGACAGCATGAAGACATGGTGCAAGAAAACATGCTCTTTTTGCTAGATCATCCTGGTGGGTAAAAGAAAAGGATATAAAGAAAAGGGATGGATGGGTGGATGGGTGGGTGGGT